GTACATGTTAGCTAATGTTTAATTACAGCTAAACTTTAGCTTTACATATTAGCTGATGTTTAATTACAGCTAAACTTTAGCTGTATATATTAGCTGATGTTTAATTACAGCTAAACTTTAGCTGTATATATTAGCTGATGTTTAATCAAAGCTAAACTTTAGCTGTACATGTTAGCTAATGTTTAATTAAAGCTAAACTTTAGCTGTACATGTTAGCTAATGTTTAATTAAAGCTAAACTTTAGCTGTATATGTTAGCTGATGTTAAACTAAAGCTAACCTTTATCAGATCTTTGTACCTGACAACAACCATTAGAATAAAACTCTACGTGTTTCTTTTGTTCCAGTCGATCCAGTCTTAACGCCAAACTGGGAGAGATGCTTCCTCTGAACTGTGAGCATCCATACTCCACCACCGCWGCTACCGTCAGCCTCCCCACACCACCTGGGACTACGCCTGAAGGTGACGAGTCAGTCTCTTCCAGTGACTGCTCCCGAGCCAACATGGTGCGGGTGTCGGCGCTCTGAACAAGTCTTGCCTTCCTGCAGAGRGCCCCCTGCTGCTCTGGAGGCTGACAGAGCGATGACGGCTGGACGGGTCGAAGGAGTTTTAATGATGGGACCTAACGACCCGTCATACAGGACCGGGTCTGTCTSAAAGAACTGATCCAGACTAAAAACTGGAAGGGTTTTATTCCATCAGAGGAGAAGTGAAGAGGATAAGAGCTCTACTAATGGCACATCTCATTAGCACCTCATTAGGTTAATAAGACCTCGTTAACCTCGTTAGCATCAGTTTCTTACTCCTGCATGTTTCCTTTGGATGTTTTGAACCACTGATAGTCATATTTATTCAGAATGTAAGAAACATTGATGATTGAGCTCTGAGTTTAGCTCTTACAGAGGAGAAGCTTGAGTTAGGTGATGTGGGTTTAACTAAGCCTGTCTTCAGGTTCGTTGGTTTAAGGATGAGAAGAGGAGCATGTTGAAAAGTCATGGTTTTCTTTGTAAACAGGTGTTTTTTGTGACACAAGTTCTGCATGATGTAAAGTTTTCTTGTTTGCCTCCACACAGCTCTTTGTTCGGCTCAGACTGTCGACACCTTCATGAAAATACGTTTCTCAACTTGTTCTTTTTTAAATTTGTGTCGCTGAAGAAAACCACTAAAACCAGTTTTCAGTTCTGAACATTTCCTCTGAGACGTTTTGATCAAAGTGAGGTGAGGAGAAGTTTGAAGTCGTCACTTCGTGTAAGAAAGTGGGACCAGACAGAACCATGAGAAACCTACAGCTCCTCTGTTATTTCACACCTGCTTTGTGTTTATTTTACAGGTGAAATCTGAGATCAGCAGGAAGTTTATTCTCTCTAAAACCAACAGTCCTGTGCAGAATGCTTATCACCTTATCTGCCACCTGTTCCCTCAGTAAGATGACTCTCAGCTACTACCACATAGTTCCACTCCTTTTTGTTAAAGCTCAGTTTGAGTTGGGCTGACTTGGTTACAGACAGGTTTGTATTCYGGGCCCCAGGAGCCACTCAGGGGCCAACAGAGACCTGGTTTTAATGGTAAAACTCAGATCTGAGGGGTTATCTTTGTGACATGTGCTCCTGTGTTGTGGTTCTTCTTTGGTGACGTCAATAAACTCAGATTTTTCTCTGACTCTCATCAGTTCTTAACTACATCTTGATTTCTTCTGTGATGTTTTTATTGAAGTGACACATGYTAACAGGTCCAGCACAAACAGGACCATCCCTCTGTCAATAAAGATGTTCAGATCTCACATTTGACTTTTAGTTTGGGTTTTATTGATCAGGATAAGATGAAAGGACTGATGGTTATAAAAGTTCCGCAGGTTCTTATACGATAAAACTAAATAAAAGCAGTGTTGGATTCAAACAGGATGAATTATTTAAACTCAGACTTTATCTTCAGTTTCCTGAAATCTTTCAACTTTTTCAATGTTGGCCTTTTATTTCAGTTTGCAGGAGAAAGGGATTAACTGAACTCAAGACTGGTCCAATCTTCACGTAAAATACTACAGTGAACAGTGGGTCCTGTGGAAGGTTGGGTCCAGTGGAAGATGGGATCCAGTGGACAGTTGAGATCAGCTGATGAGTCCAGTGGACAGATGGGTCCAGTGGACAGTTGGGTCCAGTGGACAGTTGGGTCCAGTGGACAGTTGGGTCCAGTGGAAGGTTGGGTCCAGTGGAAGGTTGGATCCATTGGACAGTTGAGATCAGCTGATGGGTCCAGTGGAAGGTTGGGTTCAGTGGACGGTTGGGTCCAGTGGACGGTTGGGTCCAGTGGACGGTTGGGTCCAGTGGAAGGTTGGGTCCAGTGGAAGGTTGGGTCCAGTGGACGGTTGGGTCCAGTGGACGGTTGGGTCCAGTGGACGGTTGGGTCCGGTGGAAGGTTGGGTCCAGTGGACGGTTGGGTTCCGCTCTGACTGAGGTGCAGGGTTAGAGTTTCACTGTCAGCAGCTGACACAGAGTATTTGTGTTTGGTTCTCATGTTTCTCCTAACAGCTGCAGTTGGGTCAGAGGAATGTGTTCAGCAGAGATCCAGTGTTTTCCAGCCTTCATGCTTCTGACACTTTGATCAGATTATTTATCTTTATTTAACCTTTTCTTTAAAAGTAAAAAATAAATAAATTKTTTTGTATATCTATGGCACCACACAGACTCTGTTCACTCTAATGAACTGCAGAGTTCTGATTTCTTTTAAAACAAGAAATATTTCAGATTACAGAAAACTAAACTCAGAATAAATGACCTCTGGGCCATAGTCCTGCAGCTTTCTTTAGTTTAATTTAAAGAAAATTGTAGAAAAACCGTCATCWTGTAATTATTTCAAATTGAAATCTGAAATTCTTCAATTGGAGAAGACAGTCAAACCACAAATATTTCATATTTTRTAGCTTTTATTCCAGTGATTTATAAACATAATATCTGTAAGATAAATATTAAACAGCAGGAAATCAGTTCTGAACCGAATCACATTTCAGTTCTGCAGAAATTTTGTCAGTAAAATATCATCTTCATCAGATGACAGAAGAACTGTCCAGGTTCACTTTCTGCAGGTGGTGGGAAAGGCCTTTGGATTAAAGGTGAGAAGGTCCTTGTGTTAGTGGTGAGAATCAGGTTCAGAACAGTCACTATTAATAAAAAGACCTTTTCACCATTAATGGTGAGAAGTCATGTCAGGACCACCAACAGCTGTGTTTTTATTCAGATAAGGCCAACTGAAACCTGCTTTTCTTTAATAATAATTACCAGGTGTGGTTCAGTGGGCGGAGCTCTTTGCTCGGACCAATCAGAACAAAGACCTTGACTCTGACATAAAGCAGCAGAACTTAGTTATTCAGCTGAGATAACAAGGATTTCTTCTTCATGTTTCCTGCATCACACAAGCTTTGACCTCCTTAAGCTCCATGAAGTCTGGTTCCAGGTGTCCTGAGGGAACCGTTGGACAGAACTTCTAGAAGAAACCACAGGACTGGTTGGGTTTGTGTTCATCCTGCTCTATGAGCTCTTCTCCACCTGAAGTCCTTTCAGCTTAGCAGTACCTGTTTTTGTTCAGTCTTGGCAGGTTTGGCAGCACTGTGGGACTCTGTTCCCTGTGTGAGGTCATCCAGCAGAGCAGGACATGTCTGAGAGTCCAGCTCAGGACACTTCCGTCCATAATAGAGGGCCCAGAGCAACATTAGTGTGAGTGCCATGGCCAGGATTTGAGCCACTCCGATGGACACACCAAGGAAACGCAAAACCTGCAGCTGCTTCGTTCCTCGAATGAAACTGTAGATTTTTGGACCACAGCCCTGCAAAAAAGACAAGTGTCCTGAAAAGACTTAATCCTGAAAAAACAAACTTATAAGAGTAATTTGACTGAACGGTCTGAGCGTTTGTATTAAACAGTCTGAGTGTTCAGACTGAGCAGTCTAAGCATTTTGACTGAATGGTTCAAGTGTTTGGACTGAACGGTCCGAGAAACGGTCCGAGTGTTTGGACTGAATGATAGGAGTGTTTGGACTGAACGGTCCGAGTGTTTGGACTGAACGGTCCGAGTGTTTGGACTGAATGGTCCGAGAAACGGTCCGAGTGTTTGGACTGAACGGTCAGAGTGTTTGGACTGAACGGTCCGAGTGTTTGGACTGAACGGTCCGAGAAACGGTCCGAGTGTTTGGACTGAACGGTCAGAGTGTTTGGACTGAACGGTCCGAGTGTTTGGACTGAATGGTCCGAGTGTTTGGACTGAATGATACGAGTGTTTGGACTGAATGATACGAGTGTTTGGACTGAACGGTCCGAGTGTTGGGACTGAACGGTCCGAGTGTTTGGACTGAACGGTCCGAGTGTTTGGACTGAACGGTCTGAGTGTTTGGACTGAACGGTCTGAGTGTTTGGACTGAACGGTCAGAGTGTTTGGACTGAACGGTCAGAGTGTTTGGACTGAACGGTCAGAGTGTTTGGACTGAACGGTCAGAGTGTTTGGACTGAACGGTCAGAGTGTTTGGACTGAACGGTCCGAGTGTTTGGACTGAACGATACGAGTGTTTGGACTGAACGATACGAGTGTTTGGACTGAACGATACGAGTGTTGGGACTCAACGGTCCGAGTGTTTGGACTGAACGGTCCGAGTGTTTGGACTGAACGATACGAGTGTTTGGACTGAATGATACGAGTGTTGGGACTGAACGGTCCGAGTGTTGGGTGGCGCTGACTCACCTCCTGGTGCAGGTCACTGAGGTCATGGTAGTATGCGTGGCGAGCACAGCCTGAATACTGATGAGTGCAGCAGGAGTCAGGTGGCCACTCCATCTCTGTCATCTCCAGCCAATCAGTGAAGTAGATCACCCCACAACACTGAAACTGTCCAAACACAAACACACATTTGGATTTCTATCCTTATTGGGAACGATCATTGACTTCCATTCATTTCCCGTAGTTTCTACAGCCTAACCCTGACCCCGTTCCCTAAAACTAACCTCACAGGTACCTACCTGACCCTAAACTAACCTCACAGGTACCTACCTGACCCTAAACTAACCTCACAGGTACCTAACCTCACAGGTACCTACCTGACCCTAAACTAACCTCACAGGTACCTACCTGACCCTAAAACTAACCT